GATATTAAGATCAAGGATTAGGTTTAAAGAAGTTGAAGTTATATATTTTAATATTTTATTAAATTAAAGATTGGGATTAAAAAAGTGGAAAAGAAACTGCTGGACAAATAATTTGGATTGGAATACAAAAGAGGGAGGTATGAGGAAGTCCAGAAAATAAGTAATCTAAAAATGGAAATGGAAAAGAGAGTTTGTTTTTAATTGTTACGTTTTCTTTTGTTTTTTTATTGTTGAGTTTTGTATTGCTTTTTGTGTGTGTTGTTTCTTTGTTGTTTAAAACTTTAATAAAAATTATTAAAAAAAAAAAAAAAGAAAAAGAAATCTGGCTGGAACCTCCTTGAATACAATAATTGCCTTCCCATCAATGCATACGTTTTTATTATAATTTAATCTCAGTATCTCATTCCTCATGTCCATAAGGTTGAACATAACCGGTACATCCCCCAGCAATTTCTTCCCTCTTGCTCTGGCAGATTTTACCTTTATTCGAAATGCATTTGCTATTGTATAGCCTATCTCCTCTTTCCTCATGTCTAGCCAGTTTGCTAATTCTTTAATTAATTTAGCTCTTATATTTTCGTTTATCCCCTCAGGAATACCTCTGAATTTCAAATTCAACTGTTTCTGCCTCATTTCTAGCATTGACATATTATCCAGTAGTTCTTCTTGTGTTTTACTTATGTCCTTTATTTCTCCTCTGATCCTATCTGTCTCCTTTTTACTTTCCTTTAGATCTTTCTGAGCCCTTTTCATTGACTCTTCCAACACTTTAGATCTTACCGTTAAGTCCTTTACTTTACCTGTCAGTTCTCCCACCACCCCCTCCAGTTTCTTATCTAATGTATCCTGAACTTCTAACAATTTTTTCTCAATATATTGTTCATTTTGTTTAAACTCCTTTCTTATTTCAACCATCAACGCATCATAGTCCTTTATCTCTTTCCCATTCTTGCCATTCTCCTGTCTAGATGGTCTTCTTTCTCCTGGTGTTCCCAATCTTTTCTTCATTCTGTCACAATTGCTTAATCAGATATTTATTTACTAATGTTATTCTAATTTCCACCCCTAGGGGTCGCAAATTAATGTATACTGTTTTTCAAATTTCCCAATTGCAGTTCCCCTCTTTCCCCACACAGTGGCAGCAGTTCCTGTAAATTCAATAAAAATCCTTCCTTAAGTAAAGTTACTTTCCATTTCTTTGTCCTTCAAATGGAATTTCCCCTTTCACGTGGCTGGAGGACTAGACTGGGAGACTGCCATAGAGTGTCAGGAAGAAAGGCACAAAAAGTAAAGAAGGGGATGAAACCTCCAAAACACGGAGAGAGCAGAAAGGGAGGGAGGGAGGGAGAGCAGATAAAAAAGAGAGAAGGGGGGGAATAAGGGTGGGGGAAGGGATACACGAGGGGCGATAGAGTAAGGAAAGGGAGGGGAAAAGATCAGGAAAGAAGAAGAGGGGGGAGAGGGGGGAAAACAGGAGTAAGAAGTAAAGATAAAAATAAAAGTCAAAGACTTATTCTTCGTGTTGTACTCCAAATACAAAATCTTCTTTTTCCGGTTCCTTATCAGCTTAATCCATAAATTCTCCACTCAAGACCGATAATCAAGCATTATAAAGCGTACCGTTTATCTCCTCCCCCACATAGAGGGCGAAAAAGCAAAGGAGAGGCTCAGATAGAACTTCAGCAGATATTCACAGCAATTCACAGCAATCCCCAAGTCTCTTCTTTCTTGCTCCTGCAAACGTACCGACTGTGACTCCAACATAGACTTCTGCCCAACCTCTTTACAAACAGCAGGAAAAAAGCAGAGTTCACGGGTGTTCACTGGTGGGCATTTTAAGCTCACTCTCCGACCACTGGCACAGGACGCTTCAACCAAGACGATACAAAGAAGTTTTGCCTCCCCTTCTATGCCTCTCTGTTGTTTCCCCACAAATCGTTACCTCGGAACATAGTAACCAAGGATTTTCTGCGAACCTCACTTGGCGGCTGCTTTCTTACTTTCAGTCCTCTCTCAGTCTTCCGCCAGACGCCATTTTCTCCTTACCGCTGGGACGGACTCCCTTTTTTCGCCCTCAGCACTCCGAATCTTGTTAATTTTCTTTTGTAAAATCCGCAGATAATAACTGCTTTAGTTTTAGTCCAGATTTGTTTTCTTTGTTTGGAAGCTGGCCGCTTTCAGTCGAAGCTTGAGACTGCACAGCGTGGGGTCTGCTGCTTCCCCTCGGTGCCTGCAGCTCAATCCCGTCCCCAAGCTTCAGTTTAGCTTTAAAGCCTGTGAAACAGGAGAGAACGTCCAGGCTCTGCCAGGTACTCTGCCCCCCAAGATACTCCTCTCAGGGTATGGAGGTCCTCTAAAGCCCCCGCACTGCTCGAGACCCCCCTGAGGGTTGCCTCGCGCTTCTTCCCTGATCGCAGCTCAACCGGAAGCCCCCATCCACCTCAATCTCTTAATGAATCACCTGCACAGTCCCATTGGCCTCAGGAGGTCCATACGGACGATTATGTGAGACCCAGGTCTACATCTTTTCCAGGGACTGTGGCCTGGGTCAGTCAGAGAATTAGTGACAAGGCTTGGTGCTTGGCGTCAGCTGAATGGGTGCTCAGGGAAGCTCCTGTTCTTGGAGATGGACCTCTGTCTACATGCCTCACATCGCATGGAGAGAGCAGGAGAAGCGGAAGGAAAGCAGCTGGCAAATGGGAATCCCAGACGGAAACACCCACCCTAATCGTTCTTTTTAATGATGACGTGCTGCCTGATCTCGTGCCCCTCTTCTGACGCAGGACTATCCTAATCTGGCACTGAAAAACCTGGATATTAAAGGCAAAGAAATAACTGTACTTAGTGGATACTTCAGCCTTGAATATATGGTATTGATTCATTGATGGTCTGAAGTTGTGTTATCTCTGGAGACAAGAATTTATTCCTCATTTGTCTTAAGTATCATAATTATAGGATGTCTTGGGGTGTTAGAGGAGAGGCGGTACCTTTGGTGGGGGAAATGTCATGCACCTTCTTGGGTAATCTATCCACCATTGGTCCCCACCCTGCACTCAGCTCTCACCTGTGGCTTCCAGAAGTTGTCAGCATGCAAGAGGGCTTCAAGCAACGGCTTCAACCGGCCGGCTAAACCAGGTGAGGATACCTGATGGGTCTCAAATCCTTGGTGGGTTGGGGAATTCTGCTGCCGGTGAAGGCAGGACCTGGTGGAAGGAGAGGATGAGAAGAACAGTGAATCCCACAGTCAAGAAGGCAGATTCTGCCCATCCTGCAGAGGAAAGTGAAGGGCAGATGGGGCTCGTCAACCGGGCAAGGAAGCCCATCAAGAAGGAAAACTCTGGTCCTAAACCTTCACTGCCTCGTGACTTATCTTCAGGAGAAGAAAAGGCTATAGAGGAAAACCTTACACAAATCTTGAGTGGAGTCTCTAAGATGTTTGGATAGTGCCCTGCACACCTCCTGCCAGCAACTCCTGCAGCCAAGCTGGTGCCTAACTGCTGAGAAGGGGGTCTTGTTGTCTAGGCAACCCAGGACCCCGAAACACACTGCCCAGGCTGCCATTGCTGCTAACACAGCAGTTTCAGGTGGAGAAATCAGCTCAGACCTGTGTATCAAAGTCTCTCCGATGTGGAGCAAGGGAAACAGAAACGCTACTTACATCATATGGCACTGTAAAAGTATTCAAAATATTTGTTTGTGAAGAAAAGACCACCATGTATCAGGTGGCCCCTTGAAAACTTACAAAAGTCTTGTGCCTGGATCTTTTGGGGGTGCAGGACCAGGAAAGCTTCTGCAACCATTAACCTTCCAATTGGGATTCAGGCCTCATCATGGAACTCACACTGCCCTGGTTGCTGTGATTGATGATCTCCAAATGGTCTAGAGTCTGAGGGGGAAGCTGTTTCCTGTTTCTGCTAGACCTCTCAGTGGCTTTGGAAACCTTTGGCCATGGTATCCTTCTGGACCCTCTAGGGGAGATGGGGGAACTGCTGTGCAGTGGTTCCCCTCCTTCCTCCTGGGCCATGTCCAGAAAGTGGTGTTGGGGGATGAGTGTTCAGACCCCTGGGCTCTCACTTGTGGGGAGCCTCAAGACTCCATCCTCTCCCCCATGCTTTTTAAGATTTATATGAAGCTGATGGGAGAGATCATCAGGGGTTTGGGGCTGGGTGATCACCAGTATGTGGGTGATACCCAGCTCTTCTTCTCATTTAAATTGGAACCAGTGAAGGTGGTGAATGCCCTGTGTTGGTGCCTGGAGGTGGTTTGAGGATGGGTGGCAGCTAACAGATTGAGGTTGAATCCTGACAAGACAGAAGTACTTTCCCTGGAGGACGGTCAGATGTGGAGGATTCCTTGGTCCTGAATGGGGTAACTGTGGCCCTAAAGGACCAGGGGCACAGCCTGTGGGTCATTTTGGACTCACAGCTGTCAATGGAGGCGCAGGTCAGTTCTGTGTCCAGGGCAGCTGTCTGCCAGCTCCATCTGGTACGCCGGATGAGACCCTCCCTGCCCTCGGACTGTCTCACCAGAGTGGCGCATGCTCTGGTTATCTCCAGTTTGGACTACTGTCATGTGTTGTACATGGGGCTATCTTTGAAGGTGACTCAGAAACTGCAACTAATCCAGAATGCGGCAGCTGGACTAGTAACTGGGAGCAGCCGCGGAAACCACATATCACTTGTCCTAAAGGATCTTCCCTGGCTCCCAGCACATTTCCAAGCACAATTCACACTGTTGGTGCTGACCTTTAAAGTGACATAGTTGCATTTTTCAGGCATAGAAAAGTATTGATCTAATGTAGAGAGCTCAATCATTCCTGGTCTATTGCTTCAAGAAGGTTCTGGTGGTTTTGCTCTGTGTGATTCAAAGTTGGTGTTTTCTCTAGCTGGAACATTTTAGCTGATAAGGGTGTTTCCTTTCTGCTGAGAGCAGGTGGTGGAATAAGTTGTAATGAGATTATGCTGAACCTTCCTTGATTTTGGGAACCAGATGAAGCTGGTTAAATTGGAGTGAGCCAGGCTTGTTATCCCGTCCCAATGTTACTCTGACACTGAATTGTTTATAAATTACAGTATTGAAAGGTGCCTGGACCCACTTCCTATTCTGCTATTTCTCTACTCTGCTTGTGTGTGTCTTACTTGAGTGCTAGATTCAGGCAGGTAGCCGTATTGGTCTGATGCAGTCAAAATTAATAAAAAAGAATTTCAGAAATAGACTTGAAAGAGAAGTTGCTGAATTACAACTTATTACTAAACTGAAAACTATGGAGAGACCTGGTCTGAATAGAGATATTGGATTCTTGTCTCATTACACATACTAAAGCTATTTTTGGTCATCTGCATACTATCCCATGCTTTTTCCTGTAGGACTAATTGCAGCCATTAACAGTCGTCAACAGCTTTACCATACCCATCTCCTACTACCCTTCTGAGAAAAACCCCACCCCACCTTCCCACTATATATAAGGGTCTGGGGACTTCTGTTTCAGGATATCTGAAGAAGTTTGCATGCATACCAAAGGTTACACCCAGGACAATCTTAGTTGGTCTCTAAGGAGCTACTGGGCAATTCTTTTTATTTACTTGAGTGCTGCTTTGGTATGCCGTTAGGTTTTTATTTAAGTTAGTTCTTTGCTATGTTTTGGATCCTGTTATGCTATTTTGCATTCAGTATTAAATTTATTTGCTGAATAAATTTTTTGCTGCCTCTGAGGGTTTTTTCCTACTCTGCTAAATATACGTCGGACTTGCTCTGGAGGTCATTATGGAGGAGCAAGATCTGCGAGCTGAAGTCCTCAACAGCCTCGGCCCTGTAGACCTGAAGGAGCGTCTCCACCCCTATGGCTCAGTCTGGACACTGAGGTCCTCTTCTGAGGGTCTTCTGCTGGTTCCTTCCCTGCGAGAAGCGAAGTTACAGGGAACCAGGCAGAGGGCAAGGAAATGGGCAACTACCTGACATTTGGAAGACAGCTGAAGGCAGCCCTGTATCGGGAGGATTTTAATGTTTGATGTTTTACTGTCTTTTATATGTGCTGTAACCTGCCCAGAGGGGCTGCGGAAACCCGACCAGATGGGCAGGATATAAATACTACCATCATTCTTATCATCTTGTGATTTTTTTGTAGTTATTTTGGAATTCGTACTGCAATATCAGCTCTCGAAATGTTATGGGTGGAGAAAATCACAGGGCTGCCATAAACGATAATCCCACCCACAAACTCTCATTCACACACAGTCTGTCAATTTGGAGGGGTCGACACACACCTCACCTGTGCTAATACTGGCAGTCTTTGGCCTGTATAGGCAAACCCTGTGTGTAGAGCCTCCAGCCACAGGCACTGTCTATCAAGAAAATGGGTCCTTTGGGAAGATTCATGCAGTCGCTGTCATCAGATGCTGAAGGATTGTATCTCAGCTTGTCAGTCACACTGCCTTCAAAGAATAAGAGGAACAGAAATGCTTTTGAGGTGCAACTTCTATATCAATCCTGAGAGCCATTCCATGGACTCTGCACCCCTGTTTCTGATGACAGGTGTACATTATCCTCATACACAGTGGAAAAGATAATAAAGATGGAAGCCTGAGAGAGAAGAAAAGGTTTCTGGCTGCTTCCTGGGTGGGATTGCGGAAATAAAGAGCCGCTTCTGAGAAGGCCTCTCCCCTCCTCCCTTCCTCTTGGGATTTCCTCTCCTCTCCAGGGCGACCAATGGCTGGACTGGGCAGAATCACTGCATCTGGACAGGGCAGGGGCTTATAGGGGCTCATGGGGTGGGAAGAGGATGGAGCTTGCAGGAAGGGGTGGGGGGACTGGACCCCCCAGTTTCCAGGGATCCCTCTGGTCACCTTGAAGGGATGGCCAATTCTTGGGTGGGAGGGAGAAGCCAAGGCGGCCCCTCCGGAGATCCCCAGCGGGCGCCACCATGGAGAAGTCTCCCCAAAGACTGGTTTCCTATCTCTCCCTCCCCCAATGCTGCACTTCCCTGCCCCAGGGATGCTCCCCCTCCCCACTTCATCGATTCCCTCCCTCTGTCCCAGAGTCTCCCCTGCACCCAGAGGCCCCGCACCCCTTGGCGCGGCTCACCCCTCGCCCTGCCACCCCCATTTCTCCGTCCAGAAGGCCCCCCCAAGACGAGCAGGGGAGGGACGGGGGGTCTCTATCCAGGCGTCCCTCACTCCCATTAACCCTTTCATGGCCCACCTCTCTCCGCGCGGAACCCACAGCGCCCCAGGGATGCCTGCGCGGGGGAAACGGGGCGATGGGTGCTCGTGGGACCCCCTGGGTGGGCACCACATGTCCGCTCCTGCCAAGGCACCCAAGGGGCCAAGGAAAGCCCCCTTCGCAGCACGCGCGCAGGGATCCAGACCCCACGGAAGGCGCTTTGGGGAGCTGGCGGGGGTCTCTGAATCCTTTTCTCCCGTCTCCCCTTTCCCCTCCTCCGCGACCCCTTTACCTCTTTGTCCTCGCTCCCGATTCTCCTTTCCTTTCCCGCAACATCCACGGGGGGGGGGGTCCTGCCGCCCCTCCTCCCCTTTCCGAAAGCGCCCCCCCCCCCGAGCTACGGCGCAGAACAGCAATCCGACGCAGAAGCTCCACGTCCGGGAGAAGCAGGCAGTTTGGGAGGGGGGCTCTCTCCGCTCATTCCGGAAACAGAAGCCGGATTGCGGGGAGGAGGAGCAGAAGGAAGAGGTGCGACATACGGGGGGGGGGGGTTGAGGGTTGTGGGGGCGGGGTGAGAGGAGGAGGTACTGGTAGGGGAGGAATTGAGGGGGGGCGAAGGAGAGGAAGGTTTTCCCCCTCCCTTCTTCGTTCAGGGGATGAGGAGAGCGGGGAAGGGGCTGATCCCGGCAATCCAACTGCAAAGCGCCCCCCCTCGCACCCCACGCCGTGATCTTAGGTCCATTCCATGTTTTAGGTATTGGTGCACATTGAGCAGCGGGTTAGGCTTTTTGACTCCTGTGTTAGGGGAAAAAAGTGGCTTTGGTTTTTGCACGCAAAGCCCCGACACCCGCGGATTTCTTGACTCCAGAATCCATCATCGCAGACCCGTTTCATTCAGGCATAGAGATCTGCTCTTTGGACAAGTCTGCTTGGATCATGTGGATCATCAATGGATCATATGGATCATCACTGGATCATACATGATGTCATACCCATCTCACGGAGCGGGGGGGGGGGCTCAGGAAGAATCTCCTGCCACGTGACTGGGGAGATCAGGAGGCTGACGAGGGTCAGACAGGGCTGCTGTTTTGCTCTCCTTACTATTTCAGCTCAGGTTTTACTGAAATGGGTGGATTCATTGAGGAAACGGGGCTATGCGAAAGCATCCGTTGTAAAGAGGCAAACGTGTATACTTTGTTACCGCCCAGTGAGTTGTGTTGCAAAGGCCATTTGCAGAAAGGCTCCTATTGTATCACCTGCGGCTACATGCCGGAGTTTTGGTCTTTTTGCGGAAACGTGTCTGCGGGCTGAGACCATTTAGGGCTTTAAAGTGTAGCAGGAACCCCCCACCCCAATCATTCAGTTTGTACAAACTTCACACACTCACACTCACACACTACATATGCCACACTTCTGTTATAAATTCATAGAAAAATCAACCATACATTGGATTTGCACTGTTCCATTTTTATTTTACTCCATATGACAAGGACTATCAAAGGGGGGTGGCTTGGTTCTGGTCAGCCATAATCCCTTCACCATCCCAGCACATCCACCGGAGCCCTGCCCAGTTGTTATGCCAACCCTGATGGTCCTAGGCAGAAGCCCATCAAGATCACAAAGAACTTGCATATGGGAGTGGATTCAGCATGGACTGAAACAAAGGACAATGATCAGATCTTCCCTCTGGGGGCAGGAAACTGCCAACTCCCCTTTGTCTCCTGGAAGTGACTCATGGGGAGGGGGGAAGGAGGAACCAGCCAGGTGACAGGACACTCAGGTTACCACCACAACTCCTCCCTCAACCCCTCCTTTCTGTAATGTATGCATGATGTCAACCCCTCCTTTCTGTAATGTATGCATGATGTCAACCCCTCCTTTCTGTAATGTATGCATGATGTTTCTGGGGGTGGGCTTGACCTAGAGGATGGGAATTTCAGAAGTTTTTATAAGGTCTTGCACACCATTTTTCTGGGTCTTTTCCTCTCTCCTGCAAGTGAGGGGAACACCCTGTTGCAACAGTTCAATAAAGGCCAAGCCTACAGGCTGCTGTTTTGCTCCAAGTTATCCTGGTTGGTGTCTTTGTTTTTGTCCAAGGGAGCCCTCGGATTTTCCCGGTAACAAAGGTCAGCACCGACACTTTGAATGGTGCTCGGAAACGGACCTGGAGCCCATGAAGATTTCTTAGGACCCGTGTTCAGGGGCCAGCTGTTAGGGGGCCGTTCAGCTGCTGTCCAAAACTGAATGTATCCCTTGCCGGAAGTAATCCATAAACCTCTCCTCCTCCGCCTTCTCGGGATGCCATTGGTGCGCGATGCTCCTGCTCTCGGGAGAGGGAGAGGCGTGAGTTGAGTGAGCTCGGCTTGCCAAGGGTTAAACGGAAACGAGCTAGATTCCTAGACAGGAAAGTAAGACGGGGGGGGCAGGGTCCTCCAGAGCGAAAGCCCAATCCCCCCCCTTCCCTGCAAGAAGTCGGGCGTGTGGGGGTCCCCTTGGTTCGGCTCTGCAGAGGCTGCCTGGGGGCGCCTGCTGGGATCCGGTGAGTCTCCTCTCTCCCCACATAGGGCCCATGGGGAGAGCGGGGGTCCCAGCGCTGCATGGCGAGAGGGGGGCAAGTCAGGGCGCGGAGGGTCGCAGGAGGGCGGCAGCTCTGCTCTTCCTTTGCATGGGTGCGCTGCTGGCCCCTTGGGGTGGGGTCTGTTGGAAAAAAACGCCCCCAGGAAGGGTGCCAGCATCCCAAGACACCCGGGCTTCTCTCCGATGGTCACTCTCTGGCTGGAATCCTTCCTCAGTCCAGAGAGACCGGTAATAAGCGACCCCTCCCGCCTGAGAGGAGCACACTAATCTTCTGGCATCCCATCACAGAAGAAAGAGACAGTCCATAGTCTACTCACTACTTTATTAAGACTGTACAAGCAGCTCTTACAAGCCTGACTTCTCTCCTGAGCAGCAAACACAATAGTCTACCACTCGACTCACACTTCAACTCAGAAGCGAAGTAACTCTTCTGTTACATGAGAACTGGCAGAGACTTCCTGTCTCACGCTCAGAGACATCACATGATGTCAACACAGTAGCTGCTCTTTGCAGCAGGTGAGATCTGAAATCCCAACAGGGTCTTGGGTCCAGGAGCGGGGAAATGCATGCAAATAAACCCCATTCAGATGTATGGATCAGTCCCCTTGTATAACAGAGGTTGTCCGCAGATGGAAACATCCGGACATGAAATATACCCTGGTCCCTAAAACCTCACCTGTGCAAGGAAGGAAGGAAGGAAGGAAGGAAGGAAGGAAGGAAGAGAAGAGAAAGTGCTTCCTCTTGCAGGGCAGAGTAAAACCTGTGGAACTCCCTCCCACAACAGGCAGAGGCCACCAATCAAGGAGGAGGAGGAGGCCAATCTGTGGAGGAGAAGGAGAGGGCGATGGGTGGCTCCTCTTCTCTGTCTCCCCTATAGGAGGCAGCCCTCTGGCCTGATCCTGAAGGGCCCATTTTCTCCTCCAGTGCTTAGTTCCTCCAGATGCAAGTTTGCCCTCTGAGACTGCTGTGGGTTGGACTAGATGATCCTTGGGGTGCCATCCACCTCTATAGTTCTATGAAAGCACCGCAGGAGGTCTAACAAGCCAAGGCATCCAAAGCAGGAGAGGTCCTGCTGGAATGGAAACAACCAGTGCAACTGTTTTAAAACAGGAATCCAACTTGTTTGTTGTGGGGGGACTCAGTGGGGAAGGGTAGACCCATGGATGCCACCTTGATCTCTTTGGACAAAGAGGTGGGAGACGAAAGTCCTTCATAAAGAGAGGCAGCCCAGCCAATCATCTGGCTGCTGCATTTTGGGCCAGTTCCCGAGTCGCCTTCAAGGGCAGTTCCACACAGAGAGTGTTGCAACCATCCCATCTGGTGCAGAGCAGGAAAGACCAGCGCCATGTCCTCTCTGTCCCAAAAGGTCTGTGGGGTGGGGAAGTAGCCTGAGCTGGACATGGGCCTCAAGCGACCATGATGGACCAAGGAGTGCCCTCAAGTATTCATGACTGGGGAGGCGGCATGTTAAGCAATGTAACATCATCATCATAGTTCCCTGCCCATCAGCCGAATTTCCAAGAGCTGATTACTAAATATAAAAAACAGCAATAAGAACAGTTGAAAACACATTACACGCTTAGAAAGGCGAGTCCCACTTCATTTGTTTTTGAGTGCTGCCCTTTGACCACACCCACATGTCATTTGGCCCTCAGAAGTTAGCCAGATAAGGGAATAAATGGGCCCTGAAGTGGGGTTGGGCAGGAGAGCAACTCTTGAGGAACCCTGGGTTAGGATCCCCACTATAACCCAATGCTCAGATAACACTCAGTACAAATGAGTCACTTGTCAATCACAGTTCTGACTTCATTCCTTGACTGAAAACTCTGAAAGGCAGGGGCAACCAGGCTGATTCATCTCTCAGAAAGACCAGCAGTTCCCTGCACATTTTGCATGGTCACTTTCCCTCTAGGAGGGCGGGAGACTTACCGTATTTCTCTCTCCATAAGACACACTTTTCCCCTCCTAAAAAGGGGGCATGTGTGTGCGTCTTATGGAGGGAATGCAGGCGGGAGGCAGGCAGAAAACGCCCCCAAGAGCCGCACATACGCTCAACATGAGTGAGAGTATCTGAAAATTCTCCATCCTTTTTTTGGAAAGCAGCCATTGAATGTTATCAGATTGCCCTTCAGTTTTTGCCTCTGTCATTCCTTTTCTAAGTCTTCTTCATATTCTCTGTTTTGAATCTTCGTTGCTATTTCAGAGACAGGATCTGTTTGCAGAAATGGGCCCATAGAATCATAGAATCATAGAATCATAGAGTTGGAAGAGACCACAAGGGCCATCGAGTCCAACCCCCTGCCAAGCAGGAAACACCATCAGAGCACTCCTGACATATGGTTGTCAAGCCTCTGCTTAAAGACCTCC